TATTACTGTAGCATACACAAAGCTATGTTTTCTATACCTAATGGATGATTTTAAGCAATTTATTTTTTTAAAAGATTTTATTTATTTATTCATAGAGAGACAGAGACACAGGCAGAGGGAGAAGCAGGCTCCATGCAGGGAACCTGATGTGGGACTTGATCCCGGGTCTCCAGGATCACACCCCAGGCTGCAGGTGGCGCTAAACTGCTGTGCCACCAGGGCTGCCCCCCCCCCCTTTTTAAAGGATTTTAAGCAATTTAAAGATAATCTTAATTTTACATAATTTTTCTCCATACCCACTGATTTTAAACACAACTGCCTTGTTGATAGAACTACCCCACATCCAGAAATGTCTCCTTAAAATAGATACTGTTCATGGCTATGGCATTCGTGGCAAGGAGCTCTTGAGGAAAAGTATATTTGTCTGCTATGATGTTACATCAGTTCTGCTTCATTATTTATTTTTTTTAGAGACAGAGCATGCACAAGCAGGGGTGGGGGGAGAGGGAGAGGGAGAGTGAATCTTAAGCAGACTCCATGCCCAGTGCAGAGCCCAAAGTGTGGCTAGATCTCATGACTCTGAGATCATGACCTGAGCTGAAATCAAGAGTTGGTTGCTTAACCAACTAAGCCACCCAGGTGCTCCCTACTTCATTATTTTTATAATTTGCTCTTTCCATAGCCTGTTTCTTAGCCTCCCACTTTCCAGGCTATGTATCTAATTTTTAAATGATTTATTCCTCTTATCCTGTTCATCATTTCATTTATTTTTCTTTATACCTTCTCTTTCTTTTTGTCTTTCTCAGGGTACAACTACTCAGCTTACATGCACCTCTCCCATAGGTCATGTTTTCTAATGAGAGTTCATTCATGTTTGTAGATGTTGCACTGAAGTATTAGATCTTTATAGTTAGGATATAATTGACAATAACTTATTTGATAGCAAGTAGATCACCACCTTCTGTCATTTTAGGTTTCTGTTCCTATACTCTTTTTCTGACCCATCTTGAAAGCAATATACAATCTCCCACTTTATCTTCTGCCTCTGAATTCAAAAGACCCATCTTTTATGAATTTGAAGGTTTCTTTCATTTTTTTTAGATTTGTTTTTATTTATTTATTCATGACAGTCACACAGAGAGAGACAGAGAGGCAGAGACACAGGCAGAGGGAGAAGCAGGCTCCATGCAGGGAGCCCGACGTGGGATTCGATCCTGGGTCTCCAGGATCACACCCCGGGCCAAAGACAGGTGCCAAACCGCTGTGCCACCCAGGAATCCCGGTTTCTTTTATTTTTATTAATTTTTTAGAAGGCCAGCTAATACCATGTGTTATATCCTGGTACCAAAATTATATTCTTATTTCAGATAAGTGTTTTAATCTGCCTTTTATTTTCTTATACTGAATTTTATTTTTTCAGTCATTCCTGAATCAAACACTCCTGTACACTCCTGATGATGGAATTTAAAATAATTTTCTTGGGATCCCTGGGTGGCGCAGCAGTTTGGGGCCTGCCTTTGGCCCAGGGCACGATCCTGGAGACCCGGGATCGAATCCCACGTCGGGCTCCCGGTGCATGGAGCCTGCTTCTCCCTCTGCCTGTGTCTCTGCCTCTCTCTCTCTCTCTCTGTGTGTGACTATCCTAAATTAAAAAAAAAAAAAACTAAAATAATTTTCTTCTGGAGCTTTAAGAGTGGCTTTGTATTTTTTTTCTTTTGTTTCAATCTAAGTAATGACCTCTAGCTCACAACCAGTTACTTTTCATTAAAACCTTGAGGGCAGGGATCCCTGGGTGGCGCAGCGGTTTGGCGCCTGCCTTTGGCCCAGGGCGCGATCCTGGAGACCCGGGATCGAATCCCACGTCAGGCTCCCGGTGCATGGAGCCTGCTTCTCCCTCTGCCTGTGTCTCTGCCTCTCTCTCTCTCTCTCTCTCTGTGACTATCATAAATAAATAAAAATTAAAAAAAAAAAAAAAAAACCTTGAGGGCAGCCTGTGTGGCTCAGCGGTTTAGTGCCACCTTTGGCCCAGGGTGTGATCCTGGAGACCCGGGATCGGGATCAAGTCCCATGTCAGGCTCCCTGCTTGGAGCCTGCTTCTCCCTCTGCCTCTCTCTCTCTGTTTCTCTCATGAATAAATAAATAAAATCTTAAAAAAAAAAACTTGACCTTCCTTTTGCTAAAACAATATTACTTCCTCTCCCCCACAAAAAATTATCTAAGCCCATTACATACTGCCTTTTCAATGGAAATGAGATTCATCAGTGTTCGCTTTCCCAAAGTATAAAGTTCCATTAGCTAATAACCACAAAACCATTCCACTAGACTTCTTGCACAGTAGCTGTTTGAAGTTCATTAGTTTACTCACCTAAAACTATTGAAAATCTATGCATTTCTTGGTTAGGTGTGATTTAGGGCCAGTATTTTTTGAGAGTATAGGGAGAAAGGGACACTTGTTTTTTTTTTCAATTAGATCTAGAATCGTGCTGTCCTGTATGGTAGCTACTAGGAACATGTGGCTAGTCCAAATTAAGATGTGGCAGAAGTGTAAAATATATACCCGATTTCAAATACTTAGTACAAAAAATATCAAATACCTCAATACTTTTTTATATTGATTGCATGTTGCAGTGATAATACTTTTAATACATTGGTTTAAGCACAATATATTACAATTAATTTAACCTGTTTCATTTTACTCTTCTAATATGGTAACTACAAAGTTTGAATTACATATATGGCTGACATTATATTTCTACTGAACAGTGCTGGTCTAGAATATCTTAGACATTTACTTGTCTTTGACAACTACCATCTCTGAATTGTTTGCTTCCAAAGGAAATTTGAGAGTGAAATTCTAAAATCTCTTTAACCCCAAAATTTTGTTTTCCTTGATGGTTCCACTAAGCACCTAAACATATATCAAAATTAGGAAGTGTATTAAATTTTTTTTCAGAGAAAGAGACAGTGGGTTAGAGTCCCTTCAAGGTATTCGTTGAATTGGTTTTTTCCCCCATTTTTAAAGCTTGGTTATATTTGCCCTGCGATGTCAAATCTCTTCCTCAGTAATTTTCTATAGCTAAAAAGCTGCTGTATAAAGAGAACAATTGTAGTATTCTGCACTTTGCAGTGACATATAGTGACTTGTCCTCATAGAAGCTATGAATGATAGAATGAATCAACATATTCCACGTCTTGTTTGTTTATATCCTGGAAATTAACAGCAAGGAGAGTGACCATTTATAATTCAGCTAATTGAGTTGGTGACAGGATGGTAGGCAACAGTGAAAAAACATTCTGTTGCCTACACTTAGTATCACCTGATGTTTTGGTTTAGGGTGACTCTGTGAAAGTAATTTGCATTAATAATCTGTATGGGGGGAATCCCTGGGTAGCTCAGTGGTTTAGCGCCTGCCTTTGGCTCAGGGCGTGATCCTGAAGTCCCGGGATCAAGTCCCGCATCGGGCTCCCTGCATGGAGCCTGCTTCTCCTTCTGCCTGTGTCTCTGCCTCTCTCTCTCTCTCTCTCTATGTCTATCGTGACTAAGTAAATGAAATCTTTAAAAAAAAAATAATCTGTATGAATGAAACATCAGGCCCCCAAAACTTTTTTTTTAATTTTTATTTATTTATAATAGTCACAGAGAGAGAGAGAGAGAGAGAGAGAGAGAGAGGCGCAGAGACATAGGCAGAGGAAGAAGCAGGCTCCATGCACCGGGAGCCCAATGTGGGATTCGATCCTGGGTCTCCAGGGTCGCACCCTGGGCCAAAGGCAGGCGCCAAACCGCTGCGCCACCCAGGGATCCCCCCCAAAACTTCTTTTTTGCAATTCCTAATGGTTTGTGTTGGTACTTTCTTTCCTTTTGCCCCTCAGGATCTTTTTATAATAGCCTTATTGAGAAATAATTTGCATATCATATGATTCATCCTTTTAAAGTATACAGTTCAGTGGTTTTCAGTATATTCACAGAGTCATGCAACCATCATTGCAGCCAAATATTAGAACATTTTCATCACCCCGAAAAAATAACCCCACCACCCCAACCTTAAGCAACCACTAATCTACTCTTTGTCTCCATGGATAGGCTTATTGTGGACATTTAATATAAATAGAATCATGCACTTTAGAGTCTTCTGTGACCGGCTCCTTTCACTTAGCATAATATTTTCAAAGTTCACATCTTAGCAGAACTTCATTCCTTCTTGTGACCAAATAATATTCCATTGTGTGGGTATACTATATTTATTTGTTCATTCATCAGTCAGTGGAATTTGGATTATGCTTTTTTAACACATAAAAAATTAATGAAGCTAATATTTACATTCAGTAATAACCTTCCCCTCCAGTCTCATATCGAGCCTCATAGTAGTTTAAGTAGGTGTTGTGATAGTCAAGCACCATTTTATAGGTCATGGAATGGAGGCTCACCAAGCCTAACTAATTGGCCTAAGATCACATAGCAGTTAAGAACTAGAACTTGGACTTAAAGCCTGTTTATCTGACTCCAAGTTGTGTGTTTCTTCCTTATTGCCATAGCCTCATCCCCCGCACCCCATCCCCTGGTGATTTCGTTGAATAATGGCTTTGTAGTTAGCCTCTTTGCTAACTTTTTGTTGCTGTTTCTTGATTTAATATACTGTTAGATACAGGAAATGGAAAAAAAACTTTTAATGTGGCCTCTTCTGATAACTCGGGGGATAAGGTGGAAATGTTTTCTGGATGATAATCTACCTCATAGTTTAACAACAGTCCGTAGAACAACAGCTTGTACAGGTCCAAGGGTGTGCTGGAGGCCTCACTTCTTGTCCGTCTCATGAAAAAACTTCTAATGACCTAGATAAAACTACATTTGTATTAGTAGACCTAGCTAATGTACTTGTAAAAGTCTCAAACTTGAAATTTAAAAATTTTATCCATCTTCTAGTGTCAAACATAGAGAAATGCTCAAAAAAGTCTTTTGATAGTGATAACATATTCTCTCCGGGATTCCTTCTCCTTTGTAGGGTTCTGTAGCTATAGCTGGTGCTGTTATTCGCTGGCTAAGAGACAATCTTGGAATTATAAAGACCTCAGAGGAAATTGGTGAGTATGTTCTACCAAAGCATTGGCATCTAAATAATGAAAATTTTAAATATTTTACCTTTGCAGTCTGTTAATACTTGTACTTTGAGCCATATGTGATATTAGATGATATAGATTCCTATTACAAGTTGGATTTTTATAGAAAAGACTATCTTGTGAAGATTGATAAAACAACAAATTGGCATAATTAGTGGTGGCTATTAACAAACTGGTAAGGCAGGACATAAAAATTACCCAAGTGTAAAATCAAACGCCAGAGATTACCAGAATATGCAGGTAAAGTAGTCCAGTTAAATTTATCTGATGGGAAAGAGCTTTAACTCTTAGATTAGAGTGAGCATTAAAACACCAGTACCTATTATGTAACTATTAATGTGGCTATTTTCTGTATGGATAATTGTTTTTTAACTCATCTACCGACTTTTCATCTACTTGTTTACTTCTGCCTGAAGGTAAGATGATCAGAAACGCATTTCTTACGGGGGACACATTGGAGGCTACTTTTTCGTCTCCTAGTCAACAACCTCAGAAATAGTGGAAATGAGTTAAAATACTTCAATGAAACTAATCTAATTCCTTTATTTCTTGGCCTGAGTTACATTGTAGTGGGAGATATTCAACGTGGTGAATTTGGTTTTTGTTGCTCCCAGCTTATGGCTTTGATTCAGAACATTTTGCTCCTCTAGGGAATAAGAAATCAAAAGCCCTGTCCTAAATTTTGATACAGAGGTGTTGACTATCTAAAGTAATAGAATAGGGATCCCTGGGTGGCGCAGCGGTTTAGCGCCTGCCTTTGGCCCAGGGCGCGATCCTGGAGACCCGGGATCGAATCCCACGTCGGGCTCCCGGTGCATGGAGCCTGCTTCTCCCTCTGCCTATGTCTCTGCCTCTCTCTCTCTCTCTCTCTCTCTCTCTGCGTGTGTGTGTGTGTGTGTGTGTGTGACTATCATAAATAAATAAAAATTTAAAAAAATAAAGTAATAGAATATATTATAGTGATTTTTGTTTTTCTTTTTTTTTAATGTTAGAAAAACTTGCTAAAGAAGTGGGTACATCCTATGGCTGCTATTTCGTCCCCGCGTTTTCCGGGTTATATGCACCTTACTGGGAGCCCAGTGCAAGAGGGTAAGAATCTAGTATGAGGTATGCTTTTGAGGGCCTTGATTTATTTACTAAATCGGCTAATAACTTGTTAGTTACTATTTTCCTATCTATTTTCAAATGATTTTAAAGTGTGAAGGAAAGCTTTTCTGTTTGGAGAGTATTAATTTCAGAACCTTTAAATTGCAAGAAGTTATAAATCATTTGGCAATAAGCTTCCCTGCCACATCCACGTTAGTGTTATGACCTTTTATCTTCAAGGCATCTGCAAATTCTGTACTGAAGGGGCATCCTTTAGATGAATTCTGATGGTATCACATTATTGTTATCCATTCATTTGGATCCCAGGCTTTTTCCTATGTGGATATGGGATTGTGAACCATAAGGACTTTCTAAGCTGCTTAGTGTTGATGTCTGCTTTCTTTTATGTGTATTTTTTTCCCTGAACCTCTCTATCTACTGAGGTCAACCCTTTCATATTCAGGACATGTCAGACTGATGACTCGTGTACTCTGCTCTAATTTTCACAATCTTTGTGTGTGTTTTTAGGATCATCTGTGGGCTCACTCAATTCACCAATAAATGCCATATTGCTTTTGCTGCATTAGAAGCTGTTTGTTTCCAAACCCGGGAGGTAATAAGGGCTTTTTTCCTGTACTTTGTCTTTTTTTTTATCACTTTTAGACAAATTCTGTATTAATGCTGAAAATCTACTAAATACTTCATTATTAAATACCTAATCAAAAGTGAAGCCTTCCTCAGCTCTATTCTAATAAATATAAGTTTCTCCTCTTTTTCCTAGCTGTCATTACCTTTGAGTTCCTGTCATCCTGCCAGGCACTGCGTGTTTTACAGTTGGGAGGATGTTGAGTAGTACATGTTCAGCAAAGGAAATAATAAATAGCACAAACATAAGCATCAAGGCAGGAAACCAGGATGCAAAATTGAGGTTTTTGGCGTGACAGGCTCTACGAGGGAGGGCAGAGGTATAGTGAAAAAGAAAGGTTCGTGGGACTACATCAAAGAAAGCTTGGAAGACCAGAATAAGAAATCTAAATTTCATTGTGTAGGCTTTGGGAAGCTCTTAAGGGCTTTTGAATAGAAGATGGCCATTGTCAGAGATGTCATTCTGAAGTTGGAGTTTAATTATGTTCATTGCGTTTATTTAAGATTTTGGATGCCATGAACCGAGACTGCGGAATTCCACTCAGTCATTTGCAGGTAGATGGAGGAATGACCAACAACAAAATTCTTATGCAACTACAAGCAGACATTCTATATATCCCAGTAGGTCAGTAAGCCTTCATGCCTTTAAACTCCTAGAGTACTATCTCTTTTGGAAGAACTGGTATTTTAGGCATACATAACTGCAAAGATGTTAACGTTGCCATCTTCCCTCAGTGAAGCCCTCGATGCCAGAAACAACTGCCCTGGGAGCTGCCATGGCAGCCGGGGCTGCGGAGGGAGTTGGTGTTTGGAGTCTTGAACCCGAGGATCTGTCAGCAGTCACGATGGAGCGATTTGAACCCCAGATCAATGCTGAGGGTATGTTTAAAAAAATGAAAATCTAGGGACGTCTGGCCTTTTTTTTTTTTTTATTTTAATGCCAAAAAAAAAATTTTTAATGCCAGATTTTATTTAAACCAACACATCTGAACCCTTATTTCAACATGTCATCCATATGAAAAAACACTGATATTTTGCTTTTTGTTGTTGTTCCAAGTCTTTGAAATGTACTACGTATTTTACACATATAGCTCACCTCAACTTAGACACTAAATTTTCTAAAGTGAATTGTCCCTTCAAAACTGCAATGTGTATAACAAGAAAATGTTTTGCACTGCTAGTTTTTAAATTAAACTCAACATTCAGTTCTTCAGTCACAACAGCCACATTTCAAGCGCTCAGTAGCTATATGACTAGGCTTACTGTATTGGGCTGCACAACCTTAGGTAAGACCTGCTACAAGAGGGAAGAGACTCAGGACCTTTTCTTGATGTATCTAGTAATTGGAAGAACTGGAAGTTTTCACACTTCCAACAAATTCCAACAAATCAGTCAGTAGAACACATGGGACTCCTGACATGGTCATCAGCTCAAGTTCCATGTTGGGTGTAGAGATTACTTAAAAATGAGATGTTTTTTAAATGTAAAGTTAATAGTATCCCTGTTGAAAGGAGAGGGCATTTTCCCTTTTTTTATTTATTTATTTATTTTAAATAAATTAATTTTTATTGGTGTTCAATTTACCAACATACAGAATAACACCCAGTGCTCATCCCGTCAAGTGTCCCCCTCAGTGCCCGTCACCCATTCACCCCCACCCCCCGCCCTCCTCCCCTTCCACCACCCCTAGTTCTTTTCCCAGAGTTAGGAGTCTTTATGCTCTGTCTCCCTTTCTGATATTTCAGAGGGCATTTTCCTTTCTGTTTATTTGTAAGTTCAGAAACTAAGTAATATAGCAAATACTACGGTTTTAAACAAACTACTAAGCATATTGGAGTACACTGAATATGAAGGAGAGGAAAAAGTGCCTTATATTAAAAAAAAAAAAAACCTTTCCTATACCACTTTTTTTGCCATTGACTTCTGCTTACAGTCATTTCATGCAAGTGTTAACTACTTCTAGTTTGCTAACTTAGCCTTTTTTAAAAGTGAGAAGGGAGATAGATGGGCTGCAGAGCTGATCATTGGTGCCAGTGGCCCAGTTGTTAGGACATGATTAGCTGGGCTGAGGGACATCTTGGTAACTTTTACACAGAGCAGAGCTGGCCTGACAAAAGCAGCCACAATGTAAGTAAATGAGCCTCAAAGACCTGATCCACTGTCCTAACCAGCTAAGCTAAGCCATAAGCTCTGACCAACACCTTTGTTACAATACAGTGGTACATCTCTTAAATTGAAAGAAATGTGAGTACAAAAATAAGGTTTTACATATATTGAATTTGGTTCTATAACTTTTTAAAACCTATGTATAAAATTGCATCAAAGTAGGTTTTGCACTACTGGGAAATAAGCTTTCAAATGCATTTCTCTTTAATTTTCTGGAAGACTAAGCCAGCACTTCCTAATTTTATTTCTTCCCACATACAAGAAAATGGATTGTAACACTAGTAATTTTATAGTCAGACAGTATGCCATGTAACTTGATGTAGAAATGTGTTTCAAAATCTGATATTCGGGGGATCCCTGGGTGGCGCAGTGGTTTGGCGCCTGCCTTTGGCCCAGGGCGCGATCCTGGAGACCCGGGATCGAATCCCACATCGGGCTTCCGGTGCATGGAGCCTGCTTCTCCCTCTGCCTGTGTCTCTGCCTCTCTCTCTCTCTGTGACTATCATAAATAAATTAAAAAAAAAATCTGATATTCTATCTGTAAGTAATTTTTAACTTATATTGGATTAAATGGGGAGGAGCTCAATAAATTTTCCACCTCTCAAAAAAATCAATTTTTTAATAAATAATGTTCAGGGTGAGCATATGTTTTCGAGATGGTAATCCCACTCTTAAGGAAGTTTTGTGCAAAGGGTTTCCTGTTTTCTGAGAGCCTTCTTTGCCGGTTTTTAAGGCCTTAGCCCAGAGTTGGTCAGTGATGTCAGCTGCCCTTCCCTTCACCGGCCCCACTCCTCTCCACACATACACACACGTACATGTGTGTGCATGCCAGGCATGTAGGTCTAAATAATTCATTCTCCAGCAGACTTTTTTTAGAGCTGAGTCTGATGTGGGGATATAGAGATGAATAAGACCAAGTCCTTGCCCTCCCAATGACTTATGTACATTGGAAGAGGCAGACAAAGCCATGTCAGGTCACTGTGGAGACTGATAGCCTGAGTTATGTGTGGGATACTGTGGGAAGATGGAGGAGGGGCCTAAGTGGGGCCCTGGAAAGCTTTCTGAAGTGAGCGATGCTGGAGCAGTGTCGCCCAGGTATTGCAGGCTTCAGGTGCCGCGGAAAGGCCTGGAGGCCTGACAGGGACACCTTCCTCTGTGCTGTTCCCTGTTACTAGAAGTACATGTGGGCGACATACCAGTGGTGTCCATTTTTGTTTAGTACTCTGACTGGATTTCCATTGTAAAAAAAAAAAAAAAAAAAGTACTGTCTTACCGGAATCCAATTTGAATCTTGTGAGAAATCAATAGTTGTTAAATCCTTTGCCTAGACCGACTAATAATTCTCCTTCTAGTCTTTCCACATTGTAGTATACCCTTCCCTGTATCCCAAGCTCCCCTCTCCTCGCAAAAAGAGAGAACAGATCAAATGGGAATCCCTTTCTAATTCATCACCGCGTGTTTGCGAATGGCCTGGTCTTCACCTATAGCCCGGCTCCCGGCTCCCTTCACCCTGGCACACCATGCTGAATTTCGCCTCTGCCTTCCAACAGGTGTCTCTCTTATTTACTGGCAGTTGCTAGACCCCGTGGTGTCCCAAATCCAAGTTCTGGTAAAGCCCCATGCCAGTTGAATATGTATCACCATTTGTTGAAAATGCTGAGTGAACTTAAGTATGGTGCTTAGACAATCTCCATAAACTACTTTTTCCTACCTTCTATTTCTAGAAAGTGAAATTCGTTACTCTACATGGAAGAAGGCTGTGATGAAGTCAGTGGGCTGGGTTACAACTCAGTCTTCAGAAAGTGGTAAAAATGTTTTTATTATCCTTGCCGCTTTGCCTTAGTATGTTAAAGAACTTATTTAAGTATTTAACCATTTACACTTAGCAAGGCTGCTCTGAAGGAAAGCATTATTTTATGTCCAGAGTTTCTGATGTTTTGAAAACACTTTAAAGTTCTAAATCTACAATGTAAATTATCAGGTTGATAGACACGTACTTAATTCTATCCTGCCCTCTCTTTTCCTCATTAGTTTACTCCTGGTGCTTCAGTGGGTAACTGAGCTTTTTAAAAGTAAAATTCTTTCTTTCTTCTCAATGAAAAAGAAAATCAACCAGAGTCTTCCTTTTCTTTATTTTTTCACTTAAGTGTCTTTTTTTTCCCTTTTTGGGGGGCTGTCTTTATGGATGGAACCAACTGAAACTTCTGTTAATTTCAGAATATATTTCACTACTTCCTAGGCTGATTCCAAGTTCTTAGCGATGTATATTATGAGAACTATTGGAATCAGAGAGGAAGAAATGTACCAAACAGTAAATTAGAAGTGTCCTACAAGATTGGGAAATGCTCTTGGCAGAAAACAGAGGACTTGTTTTTTTTTTCAGTCACTTAAGTATGAAGGTTTTGGGCTTATATAAACCATTGAGTCATAGACAGCCTTGAGCTAGCTGCCTTTACTATGCACTTGATAATTAAACAGACTTAAACATGCCTTTAATATGCCATAATATTTTAATTCTTTGCTAAATGAAGATTTAGAACATAATGAGTAGAATAATGTCCAATAATCTACTGAAGCATACACTTTAATGGAGAAGAGTTTACACATGAAATATTACCTGCCTTCCAACCCAAAACTGAGTATAAAATTACTTTTAATATATCTGGCTTCTAGAAGACACTTCTGGAACCCTCTATTACTATAGATCACTGATCTATATTTTCAGTCCTGGATGTTCCTACCTGAAGGGTTTTTTCTCCTAAATAAGCTTAATATCCTTTTTCTTTAAATCTTTTGTTCTCGGCAGCCCCGGTGGCGCAGCGGTTTAGGGCCGCCTGCAGCCCAGGGTGTGATCCTAGAGACGCAGGATCGAGTCCCACATCGGGCTCCCTGCATGGAGCCTGCTTCTCCCTCTGCCTGTATCTCTGCCTCTCTCTCTCTCTCTCTCTCTCTCTCTCTCTCTCTGAATAAATAAATAAATAAATAAATAAATCTTTAAAAAAATAAAATTAAAAAAACCAAAAACATAAATAAATAAATATTTTGTTCTGAGACTCAGTTTCCTTTCCAAGATAGTGGCAAAGCTTTTCTTACTAAGACCTTTTGCAATTTTGAGACCATTTATGATTAAACTTCATCATAAGTGTTTGCACAGCTAGTTGCTGTGCAAGATATAACAACATGGACCCTGATTTATTTTCTAGCTACCCTTAATCAATGGCTAATGAGAAGTTGAGTCCTATAATTTCTTGTTGGATTTTTTTATACGGCACAGTTGTCCCTTTGTCCCTCCCTACACCACAGTGCTGCACACACACACATCTCACAGGCAGTTGAAGATAAAATTTTCACTGTAAAATCCCCACAAAACCAATGGATCATTTTCACTTTGTTTGCATACCTTACTGTCAGAGTGAGTTTAAAACAAAAAATTGATGAAAGGAAATTGCATGATGTCTTAAGTTTCTGCTATCAGCATTGATGATAAAAGTAATTTGAGTTTTTGAGAGTTTTATATTTTTCACATTTTGTTTTTGTTTCACTTTGCAGTACATTTAAGAGTTTGAAGACTTTTTTTAGTAGATTTATGAAACACACTCTATAATATTGAGTCTCTAAGCTATATAATAAACTCTAAGAATAATATTCAATTAGTGACATCCTAATTGTATTTCTTGAGGCAATATAAACCATAAAATTGTATATCAGTAAGCTATATAATAGTAGCAGTACAGATAGAATCCTATTTTAATAATCTTGAAAGTATACTAGAATCGCTACCTGGTCTTTTATGCTCTTTAAATTGCTTTAATTTATGAGGAAAATTTTATGTTAGCTTAATTTCCAAAGCAGTTTGGCACTTTCGAAGCAGTCATATTTATTTTCTTATTTCTAACTATATTTGAACATATTATAAATGATTTTTAATTTGCATTTTGACATGTGTTTAAAATGTTGTAGAAGTGATTGGGGGGGTTGATGGTTTGTACTCCAAACACACCAAAATAACATTTTGAAAACAGGTCAAATTGGTTTAAAAATACACAGCTATCAGGGATGCCTGGGTGGCTCAGTAGTTGAGCGTCTGCCTTCGGCCTAGGGCATGATCCTGGATTACTGGGATCGAGTTCCACATCGGGCTCACTGCATAGAGCCTGCTTCTCCCTCTGCCTGTGTCTCTGCCCCCACCCCCCCGCCCTCTCTCTCTCTCTGATGAATAAACAAATAAAATATTTAACAACAAATAAATAAATAACAGTAATATTAATTATGAGGCACATTTCCTTACATAGCAAATTCTTTTTTTTTTTTTTTTGCAATTCTATTTATTTTATTTATTTATTTTTTTATAATAGTCACAGAGAGAGAGAGGGGCAGAGACACAGGCAGAGGTAGAAGCGGGCTCCATGCACCGGGAGCCCGATGTGGGATTCGATCCCGGGTCTCCAGGATCGCGCCCTGGGCCAAAGGCAGGCGCCAAACCGCTGCGCCACCCAGGGATCCCTTTTTTTGCAATTCTATTTAAAAGAGAAAACAAAACCACTATCTTAGCAAAAATAGGGCTTGAAGTTCATTTTCAGTAGAACAATATTACTCTTCTCCGATAGCTAAAGGATCTCTAATTTGAATCTTGGGGGAATTGGATAGCTCATTTAGTATCTTTGGGGGTAAGAATCAAAAGAGCTAAAATCAACAGCCTCCCAAAAAGTTCTCCATCAGCTCTCTTCGGCTTTGCCAATGGAAGGCTTATGTGGGTTTATATGTATTATGTTCTTGGCTACTTGTGGCATGCTATCCGTATTGTTTGTTAACTGTCATAAGCCTTCAATATTGATTATATTTTTGATTTGAAGTAATAACTCTGCTAGCTTTGATGAATATACTATTTTTATAACTTATTATGTTTTGCTGTCATGTGATTCTTAACACAAATATTGTAATTATGTGTCTCTCTTTTGATTTGCTTGACTGGAATTCCCTTCTACTTGGATGACCACAGGTGACCCTAGTATCTTCTGTAGTCTACCCTTGGGCTTTTTTATAGTGAGTAGCATGGTAATGTTAATCGGAGCAAGGTACATCTCAGGTCAGTTACTCTTTAAATTAGACAATTTTATTAGTTAGCACTAATGTATTTGTGTATAACTTGACAGAAAATGTTCATTGTTTCTCATTCTTCCTATGCTTAGGAACCCGGAAGATCCCTGAAAGGTCTAATTTGTTAGACTGTTTAATCTTTCGGGGCAGTCAGAATTGAGGACTGTGGCTATGCTTAATTCTTTTATTATTAGTAGATGACAATTTCTTTGAGGGATTACATTCAGCTGTGAGCTGCAGCAGGAAGCAAAAGTGAAAGTACTGCTGTGAAAGCTTCCATGAAAGGGCTTTCAGAGTGACAGATGAACGTTAAATTACAATTTTTGACATTCATTAAATTGGCTTTCAAATGTACATAAATTCTTCATACTTAAGAAAAGTTGCTATGCGACTCAATATTTCAGTTCTGGTAAGAATTTCTACCAGAGTATGTTTAGCAGAGTCTCTGGAAAACCCTACAATTGGGAAATATGTATAGTTGCCTTTATTTTAGTTAAAAGAATATATTTTGTGAAATGAAGTCTTTTAAATTACTGCTAAAATAATTGGAGTCGAAGTTAAAACCAAATTATTTTTTGCACATTAACTGCTGAATGTTCTTAGAATAAACCAAATTATTTTTTGCACATTAACTGCTGAATATTCTTAGAAAAGTAAAATTGCTCAATGTGTTATGAAATACTTTGACAACCTGTGTTAATATAAATGTGACAATCACTTTGGGGAGCTCTTCCTAATGAGAGCTCCACGTGTCTTCATACTGAAGCTTAAGAGCTTCTGTGGCAATGACCTGTCCCATATGTTACCAAGAAAGTGAAATGTTTTTTTAATCTTCATGATTAAGGAAAGAGTTAAATTACTTCTCTTAATTAATTAGTTGATGACCTGGGTTTACCATGTAAAATGTGAACTTTATTGATGCAGAGGGATTGTAGAAATCTGATGAGCCTTAACTTAGCTTGACATCGTTGGTTTGGAGCTACATATAAATAGGGAGTTACTACCATTTTCTGTATCCTTCATATTTGGGATAAGTTTGTTCAAATCCGCTTTCATAAAAAAAATACTTTATATTGGTATTAGTGCTTTCCACCTCAGGAAAGGCTTCTGTATACATAAGTCTATGCAGAACTTGCAGATGTTTATTAGATGGCTGTTTTCTTTCTGCTTCTAGGGAATGTTTGGTAGAAAAGCCCAAATGCTGTGATTTTTCCAAAATGAATATCCAAACTATTTTCCAAATACAGTGATAATCCAAAAATAAGTAATTTAAATTTATAAAGGAACTTATGTGCCATTTTAGGAAAAGTTCTATATATTTTTTTTTTCATTATCTTGAGTTTTTCTGGCTGCATAATGATGGTTTGGAAAAGGGGAAAGAATATTGCAACTGAATGTTTTCACTGATTTTTTTTTTCCTCCTGTTTCCCCCTTGTTACCATGAGGGATAAAAAGGCCTATTCTCAGGAAACTGAGACATAGAGCTTATCTCTCTAAGCTAGGGAATACATTGCCTGTCTAAATTCCTAGGCTTCCAAATGGATGTGGTTATCATCTTTAGGTTCTCTCTCTTGGTAACATATGCTGAGATTGGATAACAGTGGGAATTGCTTGCCTTGGTAAACAGTTAGCAGTAGTGTTAATATTTGCTAATTTTGGAATCAGCCTAGTTATATTTGCTGCATTTTAACTGTGAAGCAGTATTTAGAAATCATGTGGAATTTGTAGCTCAATAAATGATTGAATAGTCTTCATTGCCTTAACTCCTAAACTGTGTTTATGTTGTTATTGACATATATGATTTTTGTTCCCCATTTTAGGTATCCCATAAATGATACCAACTCATGGATTCCAAAGATGCGAGCTCTTTGCCTAATGGGAAAATCCAACGATTGTCTTTTAATGTGATGACACTATTCATAGACTCCGATTTTATTTATAAGCCACTTGCTGCATGACCCTCCAAGTAGACCTGTGGCTTGAAATAAAGAAAATGCAGCAGAAAGAATGCTATAGAAACATTTGGTGTGTTTTTTAACATCAAGAGTTAAGATTGGACCAGCCACCTTGGGGGCTGACCCCTCCTTTACCTTCGCGTCCTGCCCCATTCCCTCTGAGATCTAGGAAGAATTCGGGTCCATCACTGGAATCTTTCATCAAACACACTCAAATGCTGATGGTCTAGGATTTGATTCTCTACACTACACACACTTGACTAAGGGGTGATTACTAACGAGCTAAAAATGAGTGGCGTTTTGTTTTGTTTTGCTTTGTTTTGTTTTGTTTTGTTGTTAACAGACCCTTTTAAAAGTCCCCTTTTCTGCATATTAAGGAGACCACAACATCTTCCCTGGATGTTTAAGTGGAAACCTCTACTAAATTCTTAAAATGGAAATTTAGTACTCTCTCAGAGCTTAGATATTTTTCAGAAAGGTATTTGCCAAAACTGAATTTCTTCAGACATTTTACACGGTCTCACTAATTCATTGAATTGCCATCTGGGTCTTCTAGGGAAAGACACTTTTTCCTTTCTTTTTTCATCTCTTTTTATATTTTTCACTTTGTATATGTAACATACATGCCTATATATTTTATATACTGAGGGCAGCCCATTTATAAAATAAGAGTATGTTTTACATGATCTCACTAATTACACTAAATTTCTGTCTGGATCTTACAGGGAAGAACACTTTTTTTTCTTTTCATCTCTCCTTTTTATATTTCTTACTTTGTATGTATAACATACATGCCTATATATTTTATATACAGAGGGTAGCCCATTTATAAATTCAGAGCACATTGTATTCAGTAGGATATAATGGGGCTGGCCTTAAGTGGACCACTATGTGTATAAATATTTCGGGGAAAACACTGTTATACCATTTTTGGGCAACAGTTATGCATATTTACAAGGAGAAACTTTTTCTTAAAGAGCCAGCATTTAAAGTTTATGTTCTATGTCAATAAAAGAAAATGTACTTTTTGTGACTTCAACTATATTTCTTATATCTTACCTTTTTATTTAATTGTTTTAGCTGGATATATGTTAAAAAAAAAAAAAAAAGACCAAAAAAGCTGTGGAATCCTATGGTAAATACTGTTTTCAAACAAGCACTAGTCCATATAAAGTTATCTTCCTTTGACATAACTTTAGACATATTTGGGATTCTTTTGAGGGGATATCAAAAAAAAGGTTAAACACTTAAGTAGAAGAAAACCTTAGGAATAAAGCCAAGAATCTTTTTTTATCCAAATATGTTATTAGTTCTGTTTGGGATCACAGAGAATTATCTCCACTTACTGTCAATAGTACAACTGAAGAAAGGTTTGCAGTTAGAAATGGCTTCCAGTGAAACCAAGAATTTCTCAAAATATTTAGTATTACATGTTATAAAAACCTACCTAATCTAGCATCTTAATGTCAGTTTTTTAAAACCGTCAGATTAATTTCTGTTTACTACAAATAAAATACTGCCTTCTAATATTTTCTTCAACCTGTGCTGAAAAAAATGGGAAAATATTTATATATTAGTATAAAAGATTTTGTTTTGTTTGGAATTAATGGTAGCTTGCATTTGCAGTTCTGATTGTACTGTTTCTAAATTATTGAATCTACTTGGGTTTTATTGATGCAGCTGCCATTTGAGTGACAAAAATATTATAGAAAGGTATTGTGAAATTATTACTTTGTGATGAGGGTACTTTTAAACATAATTGTTTCTACAAAACTAGGTTAATTGTAAATGTTAAATGTTCAGGTAATTTTAAGATTACATTAATTTTCTATAAACGGCAATATTTATAAATGTTTGAAACTGTGCACATTGGTATTTAATGATAAGTTGACTTAAAATAAATTGACCCCTCATTCTTACTTGCATTTCTCATTTATAGACTTAGATCAAAGTTAAATCCAGAAGGATGTTTCAGGAAACCCAAAACTCAACTGTTAGTACTCAATCAGGCATACTCTGAAGAATTAACCAAAAGCCTAAGTAGTTGTTTCTGGAATGATGAGTACCTTAATCATTCTATTGGAAAAGACTGCACTGTTCTATCTCAGCATCCAGAAAATACTTGCTGATGTCAGAAGTCCTTATCAATTAGGGCCTCTCATGGCTAGCCATGCCTTTCTACTGGTTTCTTTCTGTTCTATCTGGGTCTGAGCTGGTGGAGTCAAGTGTGCTATTGTTCTCTCAACTTGATAGCCCATACCTCAGTCCTTTGTTTTTTAGTTAATCAGTAAAAGAAGTAAATGCATCTTTGCTTCTCTAACTATTCTTAGATATCTTAGAATTTTCAGTGTTTCTTTTGAAGCACCGGAATTCAATTCTTTGATTTCTGAATGTTTTGCATCATGTGGGAATGAAGAATGATAGCTATTTATGGGAAACCAGCAAACAAGATGTTCCAGCGCAGAAACTAACAGTGTTGATGGTAGAGTGGGTAGTGTTTAATTCCTGGTGTCTGCCTAATAGTAAATAGAAGTACAGAAGTTATTTTTTACACCTTTAATGAGGTATAAAATTGATACACAGAAAACTGCACAAATTTAATGTATACAATTTGGAGTTTGGACATCTGCAAACACCCATTATACCATCACCACAGTCGTGGTAATAAACATACCCATCCCCCCTCACAAACTTCCTTGTGTCCCTGTGCTTTGGGTGTGGGTGTGGTAAGAATGCTTACCCTGAGGGCAACCCCGGGTGGCTCAGCGGTTTAGCGCAGCCTTCAGCCTGGGGCCTGATCCTGGAGACCCGGGATTGAGTCCCACATCAGGCTCCTGGCATGGAGCCTGCTTCTCCCTCTGCCTGTGCCTCTGCCTCTCTCTCTCTCTCTCTCTCTCTCTCTCTGTGTGTCTCTCATGAATAAATAAATCTTAAAAAAAAAAAAAGAATGCTTACCATGGGATCTACCCTCTTAACAAATGCTTAAGTGCACAGTACCCTGTTGTTAACCATAGACCGCACATTAGACAGCCACTCTCTTGAACTTACTCTTCTCATATAACTAACTGAACCCATTGAACAGCAACTCCCCATTTCCCCAACCCCTGGTAAGCACTAATTTACTCTCTGTTGCTATAAGTTTGACATTTCTGTTTCCTCTTTAGATTCCACATATAAGTGAGATCGTGCAGTATTTGACTTTCCTTGTGTGCCTTATTTCACTTAGCATGATGTCATCTAGGTCCAGTGATGTTGCAAATGGTAGGATTTCCTCCCTTTTTATTTTTTTTTTAATTTTTATTTATTTATTTGCAATAGTCATACAGAGAGAGAGAGAGAGAGGCAGAGACACAGGCAGAGGGAGAAGCAGGCTCCATGCACTGGGAGCCTGACGTGGGATTCGATCCCGGGTCTCCAGGATCGCGCCCTGGGCCAAAGGCAGGCGCCAAACCGCTGCGCCACCCAGGGATCCCATTTCCTCCCTTTTTAAAGATTTTATTCATCTGAGAGAAAAAGCAGGAGCAGGGGGAACGGCAGAGGGAGGAGGAGCAGGCTCCCTGTTGAGCAGGGAGCCAGATGTGGGCCTCCATCCTAGGACCCTGAGATCACAACCTAAGCTGAAGGCAGACACTTCACTGATTGAACCACCCAGGTGCCCCAGATTTCCTTCTTTTGAGGCTAAATAATATTTCATTGTATGTATGTACCACATTTTTTATCCACTCATCTGTAAATGGACTTTTGGCTTGTTTCCATAACTTGGATGTTGTGAATACTGCTGCAGTGAACTTGAGACTGTAGATAATTCCTTGAGATCCTGATTTCCATTTTTGTGTATAAATACCCAGAAGTGAGATTGTTGAATCTTATGGTAATTCTATTTTTAATTTTTTAAGGGATCTCCATACTGTTTTCTATAGGGACTGCACCATTTTACATTCCTATCAACAGTGTACAGGGGTTCCAAAAATTATTTTTTGACTAAATTTATTTTAAAATATATTTATTCATGAGAGACACAAGCAGAGGGAGAAGCAGGCTCTCTGCAGGGAGCCCAATGCAGGACTCAATCCCAGGACTCTGGGATCACGCCCTGAGGTCAAAAGCAGATGCTCAACTGCTGAGCTACCCAGGCTTCCTTGACTAAACTTTTAATAGCTTATTTTATTTTTTTAAAGGTTATTTATTTGACAGCACAAGCAGGGGGAGTGGCAGGCGAGGGAGAGGGAGAAGCAGGCTCCCCGCTGAGCAAGGATCCTGATGCACGGTTCAATCCCAGGACCCTGAGATCATGACTGAGCCAAAGGCAGATGCTTAACCAACTGAGCCACCCAGGTGCCTTGAAAACTGACTTTTAAATCAACTTGATTGCTACTTGTACTTTATAGGAATGTATCTTAATTGTGGTTTTATGATAAAATATTTTTTAAAAAAGATTTTTTTTATCCATTCATAGAGACAGAGAGAGAGGGGCAGAGACACAGGCAGAGGGAGAAGCAGGCTCCATGCAGGGAGCCTGACATGGGACTCGATCTCGGGTCTCCAGGATCACACCCCAGGCTGCAGACTATACTAAACCGCTGCGCCACCAGGGCTGCCCTATGATAAAATATTAAATGTGTGGGATCCCTGGGTGGCGCAGCGGTTTAGCACCTGCCTTTGGCCCAGGGCGCGATCTTGGAGACCTGGGATCGAATCCCACGTCGGGCTCCTGGTGCATGGAGCCTGCTTTTCCCTCTGCCTATGTCTCTGCCTCTCTCTCTCTCTCTGTGTGACTATCATAAATAAATAAAAATTTAAAAAAATACATTAAATGTGCTAAACACCATAGAGAAAAAACTAAAAAGTATTTCCTGAGATTTTCCTTTCATCACATTTAGTGAAAAAGACCCATTGAATTACATGTGGGGATATAGATATAAAGGTAAATATTCTGATAAGCAGAAGGTAGGCTCAAGACAAGTTGCTCAAGGGGTGCCTGGCTGGCTCAGTTAGTGGAGTATGCAACTCAATGTTGGGGTTGTGAGTTCAAGCCCCACACTGGGTATAGACATTGCTTAAGAATAGAATCTTTAAAAATAAATAAACTGGTACAACCACACAACAGAACGTGTAGCTTTAGAAAAGAATGATACTGTAGTAACATGAAAGCCTATCCAGGAAAATTGAAAAAGTAAAGTGCAGGGGAGTGCCTAAGTGTTCTCTCATTCTATTTAAAAAAGAGAGAGAAAACTAGGATGTTTGCTTATGCTGTGAGGATACCTAAGGAACTGTTAATAGTGTTTACTTAGTGGGACAGAAAACAGTGATAATTGGGCATGTGGGAGACAAGGGTGAGAAAAAAAACGTTTCACTGTTTATATATATTTGAACTATGTTAATTGTGTTGTGATCTTGAACCATGTTAATGTATTAGCTGTGTATAAATCTAATTTAAAGGGTGCATGATCTGGTGAGTTTAAGCCCCATGTTGGACTTCACACTGGGCACGGAACTTACTTTAATAAAATATAATTTAAAAATTTTAAATTCAGAGTTCAGGGCACACGGGTGACTTGGTTGAGCATCTGCCTTTGGTCCGGGTCATGATCCCACGGTCCTAGGATCGAGTCCTGCATCAGGCTCCCTGCTCAGCAAGGAGTCTGTTTCTCCTTCTCTCTCTACTCCTACCCCCTGCTCATGCTCTCTCTCTCTCTCACACTCTCAAATAAAATCTTTAAATAAATTCAGGGGGATCCCTGGGTGGCGCAGCGGTTTAGCGCCTGCCTTTGGCCCAGGGCACGATCCTGGAGACCCGGGATCGAATCCCACGTCGGGCTCCCGGTGCATGGAGCCTGCTTCTCCCTCTGCCTGTGTCTCTGCCTCTCTTTCTCTCTCTCTCTCTCTCTCTCTCTCTCTCTCTCTCTGTGACTATCATAAATAAATAAAAATTTAAAAAATAAAAAATTCAGAGGTCATTTTACATGAATGTTCACGGCAGCATTATTCATAATAGTCAAAAAACAGGAAACAATTCAAATGTTGACTGGACAAACAAAAGGTGT